GCTGATTGTCGGTTGATGGACCTTGGCTATTAAGTTTGCGAGAGATGTAAAAATATTTTCCATATAACGATGTGAATTTTTGTTTTTTTTTTCTTCTAGAACCAAAGCTTTTCTTTTTTTGAAAAACAAAGGCATATTCAATATGATTACATATCGTTCCAAAGATTTGAATAATATGAAAATTATGTAAATGTCGTTGTTGTAATTGAGAGAGATCTTTCAAATATATGTTTTACGGAAACACGCTCATCACTATTGGAAATAATTTTTGGATATTATAAAATATGTATATAAAAATGATTAAAAAGATTTTATAATAAGTAAAATATTCTTTGAAAAAAATTCGCAATCATATGAACAAATTTGAAAAAAGAAAAAAACTTGTTGTTATTAAATACTTATTGAAAAAAAATAATTAAAGAAAAAAATACATATATTTATAAAAGCAATTAAAAAAATACTTTTCAATGATTGCAGTTTGTGTAAGGTGTAGGTGGATGGGTGGTGGTGAATTGTTTGTTGTGAAAGATGACTCTCTCTCAGAACGCCAAATTAAATTAAAGGAGAGGAAACGAACAAATATGGAAGACATCCATCCCCCTGAAGCAAGAAAAAAATTTATTAAGAAATATTTAAAAAAAAAAACAATTTAGAAAAAAATTTGTTTATGATGTATATAAAAACATATATAAATATATATGTATATAAATATATATATATATAAAATTGAATATATACGTATATATATGTAAGGGAAAATTGAAAGTTTATGTCAGTTAAGGAATTTTAAGAATAGAAAGATAAAGAAAATCTTTGACGGATGCCCTTCATACATACCACTCTGACACCCGCCGAGTGGTTTCAGATTCCTTTTTCCTTTTAGCTCTCATTTTCGCAAGGGACATACTGGAAGAAGGCTTTAACGAAATAAAATCACACATACACACAAAGAATTTCATATCTCCTTGAGGAGTTATATGAAATTGAAAAATTTCTTTTTATATATTTTTTTTGTTTTTTTGTTTTTTTTTTTTTTGAGTTATTATATGTTAATAATAAATGGATAATTATTGCTAACCATTGTTAAATTATATTTAATACATTTTATTAAGATTTACGTTTAGAATAATAATAGAAAAGTAAAATGTTGCAACATTTTGTCTCCTATATGTAAAATGTGTTTATAAATATCCTTTTGTTTTCTTCTTATTTTTTTTTTATTTTTTTTTTTTTTTAAATCGTTTATATGAAATGCATATAAGTATTTTGTAGTGCATACTTAATCTAGAAAAATTAAGAACATAATTTTTTCATTTGCAAATACCTAAAATAATGGTCAACATTTTATTTATGAATGAATAAAAAATTTCTCTTAAATATATATATATATATGTAAATACGAGAGAGAGAAATTTTTTTAAGATATTGAAGAGATTTTTTTAACACCATCGTTAAGAAAAAGAAATCTTACCGCGTGCACTTAAGTTTTAGAAGGGAGCATTTATATATTTGAGACGAGATTGACTGACGTAATTATGGTAAAGCTGGAAATAAAGCCTTAGAAATGATATTCATATACATTTATGTGATGTGATTCATGATTTAGATCATATTTTTTGTATATACGCAAAGTTTTTCTGTTGGAAGAGATATATATATCTTAGCAAAAAAAATCTTACCAATTTTTTTTATTTATTTTTTTTTTTATTATATTTGCCAGTCGATTTTCAACTATATATATATAAAAAAAAAAAAAAATTAGTTGAATATAGAATTTTCAGCAAAACGCTAATGAATATTTAGGAAATTTCAATTTACAAACATGTTATTATATTATCAGAAAATAACGAAAATATTATATAAGCATTTATGAAAAATATCAATTTGCTTGTAATCAAATTGAATATAATACGTGTTTGTTAAAAATTAAAGGCGGAAGGAACGACCAATTCGATACATATTTGATACAAAATTAAATTAATTTACACAGCAAAAAAAAAAAAAAAAAAAAAAAAAACTGAGCTTGAAATTGATTTGAATATTTCGCTCATCCGTTTGCTGATTGCACAATATTTATAAATTGCCACAAAACTCCATATATAGATACAGACAGCGCACCTGTAAACGTTTTCGTTGTCACCCGGCTGACTGACAGAAGAAGAAATATTTAATAAAAAGTAAATTCTTGATCATTGATAAATTATGAATCGATTTAAACACCATGGTTATATGCTTTTCCCTCACAGTTTCAAACCCTTATAATATTAGGACAAGAATATTAAAAGTAATAAAATCCTGTATATAAAGGATGAAAAACAAAATCAATAAATAAATAAATAAACACGACAACGTTTAAAAAAGTTTTTAGGTCTACACTTAGTCATTCTTCCGTCAACAGAATTGCGACATACAGCAAGTCACTACATCTGTTTTGACTGATTTGGAAATTAATGCAATGGAATTGCTCGCATTATCGGTTTCGAACTAAAAAGTTTTTTTTTTTTTTTTTATCAAATTAGACAAACAAATAAGTAAATACCTTTCCAAAGTTAGCGCTTTTGTTTTCTTCCCATTACTTTATTGAATTTAACATCGGAAATATCGGGTTCTCTATAAGATTACATAAGGTGTTTGTGTGCCAGATAAACGCGTTTGAACGTGTTGCGCACATTTGTTCCCTTGCTTTCAAGAAATAGATAAGTTTAAATATTAAGGGACGAAAATCGTTTTGAAGCATTTCCATGTTCATCATAAAATGATGTGACACGCACGAAATATCTATTAAAAGATATGGCATTCCTTGTTAATTAATGTACGACTCTAGGTTTTATTACTTCTTCGACGGTCATCTGTTTTTGATTCGCTGGTGCTTATAAAAACTGAGATGGAAAGAGAGAGAATGAAAACTTTTCATTGTATACCCTTAGGTCATGATCAAATTTCAAAAAGTCGTAGCCTGCTGAAAATCATATCCCATAATCTATTTAAATCAATATAAATTTGTCGTCAAGGCTCTATTCCAAAAATTTAGTATATAAACCATTTTATCTGACAAACGGGCACGCCTACAATTAATAAAATATTTTGTAAGTTTTTCGGTGGGTGTGACAAAATTCGATTTTCTGTACATAACTGTGCAGCAGCATAGAGTCACTTCAAGTTTCACAACCCATCCACCATTTTTCTCCAGGCAAGGTATAATTTTCGTTTTTTCCTTGAAGTGTTTACAGTATCTTTAAGGCAACACATCCTTTAGAGAAATTCTGAAGATTTTTGCGATGAGTTAATTTAAAAATTTTCCGTAAGTAGAAAAGCGCTCTTTTTCGGCCCAAACCTGCATTCAACATTTCTCTAGATATAGATATATAGATTAAATGATTTTCTTTTGTTTCTCTTTAACCCTAATTTGGATCGGTTGGATCGGAGATTGTCAAATATTGTTATTGCATCAAAAAAAAAAAAAAAATCTTTTACTGTGGGCCTACAAGGGTAAAAGTCTCAGCGCCTTGATAAGAAAGCCAGCATATTTCGGCTGGGAAATAATTCGTCAGAGTCTGGCTAATGAAGTCTAAATTGCAAGTGTTTTTAAATCTTATAATAACAAGAGTTTTAGAGTAAAGAAAGATGCATGAACTGACTTCTCCTCCCGTCCTATGCTTCGACTGATCGTTACTATGCAGCATACATAAGTTAAGTAATAGTGTTTCAAAACTAATGTTTTTTTCTTACGACATTCTTATTTCATTTCGCACTGGGCAGTTGTAGTTTGCACAAATCCTTGAAAAAGAGAATAGACAAAAACGATCAAAATTTGAGTGATCATTCGAGATTTAGGTTTTAAGATCCTTTGATAGAATTTTTCAATGAAATTTGAATAAACCGATGCACCCCACGGCGGTACATATGACTACATAAGTTTTGATAAAAGAATTCGAGGTCGTGTACAGCGTTTACCCCCGTCATTATCATGACATTGGAGGTATCCACTTCTACTTTCAAATATATTGTTATGTTAAACATTTGAGCATAAAATGAAATAAAATTTTGTTAAGGAAAAAGTATATAAAATATTTATACAATATTGTTTTTATGGCATAATCTCAGCTCTTGACTCCTGCAAACAGAATACAATAAAATAATTTGAAATCAAATAAAAAAAGTACATACATGCATACGTTTACATATTAAGATGTATATTATACATTAAAAGATAAGAATTTTTGTAAATTTAATTTTCAACCATTATTGTAAATCATCGTTCCCATTAATGTATAAAAAAATATCAAAGCTTTGCTCCATTGTTCTACAATCAATAAGTAAGTAAAGCGATAAAGCTTACCTATCCATCACCATCGTCAGTAATCATCATCAAGGACTCAGGGCTTTTAACTTACAAGCGAGAATAGGCCAGTGTTAGTGATTTGTGGGCTCTTTTTTTTTTCTTTTTTGGAAGCTGAAGAAACAACACTTAGCTTAAATGTTAAGTTCATATATATATATATATATATATTATATATATATTATATATATTTTTATATATGTTATTAAGAGAATTAATTTTTTTCAATATAACTCGAAATAGTTGCATTTTGCTTATTATTATTAATTGTGATTAAATTTTGTTGATAGTATTTTTAAAATGTATTATATTTTTAAGAGTTTCATTAAAAATAACTTACAATTGTTTTTTTTTTTTTTTTTCGTTTTACTTCGGGGAGTTTTTAGTAAATTATTTTTGGAATTTTTTTAATAATTATCATTACTATTATGAAATTTCAAAGTTAAACATAAATGTCATAAAAAAAGGAAGGAATTTGATTGCAATTATATGTAAAAAGTGAAAAAATTGTATCCTTTAAAAATTTTAAAATGAACCTAAATATATATATTTATATATATATATATATACATACACAGATGTACATATATGTGTGTATATATATATATATATATATATATATATGTATGTTTTTCAGATAATATATATATGTATATACGTATTTATATTAAAAACGGCCGTTTTTAAATAAAAAAAAAGGAAAACTAATAATAGAAGTTTTCATTTTTTCGAGTTTTTGTATTAAATGATCGAATAACAACAAATAGCTATGTATCAATTATTTTCGCTTAAAGTATCTACAAAGAGAAATATTATTTCAAAATTCTTACATAAACGCACACTCATACACACATATTTCATAATGTCGCAATGGAGAGTAATTCACAACACAGAGTTCTTTCTGTTTTCAGATACTTTTTTCTGCCTGGGGAGAGGAGGATGTTGTAGTAGTAAAACATTATGTCGGAAAAGAAATTTGTCAGAGAAAATTGGCTGTAAAAATATATGCATAGTTTCTTTTTTGTGTAAAAACGTTATAAATATATGTAGATAAGTAGATATATAGATATATATATATGTATATACATGTATATACATATAAATACATATACGTTAAATAGAAAAAATTAATAAATAAATTGAAAAAGTAAAATATATTCAAAAGTTCTACTCTACAAAAAAACCATATATATTTTCAAAAAGTAAGTGTTTTAATAAATTCGTAAAAATCATTTTTAAAGTGGATAATATATATATATATATATATATATATATTAAAGTGGATAACATATATATATATACATATATATATATATACATATTATTGTTTCTTTTAAACCGATTCCAATTTAATTACCACTTAAGGAAACATTATTTAGATCGTATTAATTTAATCTTGATGTTTGGTCGTTGTAAATTATATGTATGTAAATATAGAAAATAATTTTTGAAATTCTCTTCTAAATTAAAGATAATTACTTACCCGTTGCTCTTAATTTTGTATTTTGATTGCTATTATTATAAATTATTTTCTTTTATTTTAATGTTTATCATTCTTCTTTTGATTGGTAACTTGCGGATTATTGGCATCGCTACCTGGTGGTTGGGGAGCACCTGGATAGCTAGGCTGTGGTCCTCCATAACCACCAGCAGCCATACCAGCTTGGGCGTAGCCTCCTTGGGCAGCTGCGGCTGCGTAATATTGTGAATATTGCGAATAATCGGCGTAGCCAGATGATGCCGCTCCGCTTACGCCCGCTTGTGTGTTAACTGGATTATTAGCGACTGCATTACCACTCGGTCTACCAGCACTGTTACCAGGTATACCTTGTTGCTTATCCTAAAAGCAAAGTGAAAGGGAAATTAAAAATTATATTAAAATGTAAAAACAAGAAGCAGAGTTAAGTTTAAAGTTCAATAAAGTCGAATACGGAATTTGTTACTTCGACTTTTATGAAATACGATTCTCAGGTTTTTGTGCTTTCCCTAAAATGTATCCTTTATTGTAATTGCTTTCAAAACTTTGTATTTAATCCAATAATACACAATCAACTGACCCCCAAACATTTTCATAAATTTCGTTTTCAACCAAATCCATTAGCAAAATTGGGTGGGACGTTGTCATTCCGTAAGTAACCCTCAGCAATCCCCTCAAGGACACAACATGAAGTATTCATGTTGAAGCCTAAATAAGTAAGAAAATACACTATTTTTGGATATCCATCGCCTTAACGATATATACAAAAATATTTGATAAATTATCGGCTTGTCAAATTCACTGAACATGTTTCTCCAAAGCAGGCTCTGCTATAGTAAAATTGTTTCCCCATAATTATTGACTTTGTGTTGTAAGTTACAGTGTTTCTTAAGTGTTGAGGGCAGTTTGCTTATGGGTTCATTGTTAATTTCTATATCAGCAGAGCAACAGGCGAATGAGGGAAAGCCTATAAATTGATTTAAAATTTTGTTCTCACAATGAATATATTAAATAGAGCCCTTACAGGTTTCTTCAAGATGCTACACTTGGCATAATCAAAGTGACATACCGCCTCATGCTTTCGGGACAATTTCAAAGGAGTTATCGGAGTCATCAACCAAGTCTGGAAGCATACTAGCATTGTCATTCCATCTGTGCTATTCAGATTTCATAAAGTTCATACTACACGCCGTTAATTAACCAATCAAACATGGCCGGCCATAAGAACTGAAATCTCGAACTAACTGATGCTGCTCATATCATTTTCTTCAAAGTGTTAAGTTGATTTAGTTATAATCCTCTGTCCATCTTTTGTTGGAATTTTGTCCCTGTCGCAATAATAGTTGGAGAAAGTTCACAACAGCCGGTTTTAAAATGAAAAGGCAAAGAAATGCTCATATAATTTATGATTCATGGAAGAATCTACATCAATGGTAAAAACGTGTACCTCTGTCCAGAAAATTGCGCATTTTATATATGTGTGGCATTCTAAAATGTATTGGACCTTTAACGTGTAGGTATTTATTTCATTCAATTCATTCTCATATGTAATGAAATTTTAAATCGACTATAACTTTCTTATAACTAATGAATAGTTGAAATTCATAGCTTATTACAGCCAAATTATCCACCGAATTGCCTCTTGCTTCCTGCTTTATTTACAATCTTCTTTTTCTATGCTTTCTTTTTCACTCATTAACACTCCCGGAGTACCAACCACCCTTACTATTGATCCAATTTTGACAACACAACGTACCTTAATTTGTTTTTCAAGATTGTCAGCCTCTTCATGTTTTCCTATACTGCGATAATATTTAACCCATTGTGCACTATAATCCTTGGATTGCGAGCCAACGGCAGCATTTGAATTTGTCGTACCAGTAACATTAACACTGCCCGCTGCCGCCGCGGCAGCAGCAGCGGAGACTGGTGCGTTACCGGCACACACACCACCACCAGTGGCTGGCGAAATATTTGCAGGCGCCGCATTATTAGCCTATTAGGTTTGCAACGGTACAATGGACGAATTTAAGTAATTGTTCTTAATACAATTTGCATGAATGTATATTGTATTATTAATTAGTGATAAATATTTGTTAATATTACAATACCATATAAACAAAAACATAAAGTTACAAACTACTTAAAAACGTACAATTCTTTATATGTAGTTTTTGTAATTGTGGTTGGGTAGGGTGGTTTGGTAAAATGTGAACTATTTTAAGGATATAACATTGCGTTACTAACACTTACCTTCATTTGTTTCTCAATAGCTTCAGCTTCTTCGATTTTGCCTATACTGCGATAGTATTCGGCCCACTGAGCACTGTAATCTTGCGTTTGAGCAGCGGAACCTGGTACACCGGCGACCGGGTTATTAACGGCATTGTTTGCTGCTTGCTGGGGTTGAGCTTGGCCTGTACCAACTTGTTTCGCTTTAAGTTGCTGCTCAATCATTTCTGCTTCACGGTGCATACCAATTGATCTTGAGAAAAGAGTTTAACTGTTATTTGTGAATCTTTCATGTATATCGTTCAAATTACTTGTAATATATAATCCACTGTTGCGAATAATCCGCTTGTTGTCCGCCCGCTCCCGGAGCACCTTGTGCCATACCTGCTTGCTGCGATTGATCACCCCATGCCCCTTGTTGAGCGTAGCCTGCCCACTGCTGTTGATATGCTGCCATCGCGCTGTTTGGATCGTTAGGGTTATAACCACCGGCCGAGCCTTGTATATTTGGTGGCCCTCCAGCTATAGATTTACGTGAGATAATATTAAGATCCATATTGATTTTCTCTGCGATCATCTGACGTGCAGCTTCCACCTGTTCGGATGTGCCTTTACATTTAAATAATTTCTCTGAAGGCGGGTTAACAGCATTGCGATCCATCTCACAGTAGGCACCAGATTGTTGGTTAATTAATTTTATAGTCTCACCGCCGCGTCCAATAACAATCTGTGAGTTAAATGGATTCGTCAACATTGCATGTAAAAAACCAAAAGCGGAAAAACTTACTCCACATTTGGAGGCAGGAATCATGAAAGTAATTTCTTCTCGCGCTGGTTGTTGAGCGTGATTAACGCCATAACCATAGCCATAATTCGAATTGCCATTATCGGCGCCTCCATTGCCTGGTATCGCTCCGCCAGCCCCTCCCCCGTTTCCATTACGATTACGTTGCTTTTTTATGTTGAAAAATTATTTTTTTTCTGTTCATTCACACAAATTTTTATAAAGCAAAACTTACCATTACGTTCTCTATTAAACCATCAATGGTACGTTTGGCATCTTCCACTTGTTGCCTCGTACCCTGGATCAAGCACCTCCGGTCACCAGGTTCATCGTTTTTTCCTTGTATGAATTGCAATTTGCAACCGCACTCTGTTTGAATTTTACGTATCATGTCGCCTCCTTTACCAATCACTACTCCGACAGCTATTTTTGGAACGAACACTTCGCATTGTTCACCGCCACCGCCCCCGAAGTTATTATAGCCGCCATTAGGTCCGTTATTTGTACCTAAACCAGGTCGGTTGCTGTTTTGTTGTTGTTGTAAAGCGTCTTTCTGGGCTATGAGATCCAAAACCAACTGTTTAGCATGCTCAATTTTTTGAGGATCACCGGAAATGCGTAAAGGTTTCTAAAAGTGGTCAGAATTATCGTACTCAGAACATCCGCGATTACAAGTAGATAGATCACTTACAATAACTTCTTGATTTGGTCCATCTTGTATTATAACCATTTTAGCTCCCGTTTTTTCCTGCAATTGTTTTATTGTGTCGCCTCCTTTACCAATTACCAAACCTACTTTTGTACCAGGTATCATGATTTCCTGGTACGGCGGATAGCCTGTAGGCCCTGGCGGAGGCATGTTAATAGTTAACACCACTTCCACATTGCCGCCGCCATTACGGTTGGCTAATTGCTGGATAAGTTCGCGTCCTTTAGTTACTGAGTCACGTGACCCCCTTAAAGTCAAAACACGGTCACCTTCTTGGCCCAACTGTATTTTGCAACCGGAATCTCCTTGTATATGGGCTACAGTCTCGTTACTCCCGCGACCTACAAAAACATTAACAAGACAGTCTGGAATGCGTAATTGTTCCTCGCATGTGTTTCCAGCAGTGGCAGCTAAACGCGCTGCCACAGCGGCTGCTTGAGCCAAAGCCTGAGACATATTAGCTGGTCCACCAGAAGTAGAGCCCCCACCTGCACTCATATTAGAATTGCTATTGTGACCGTAATCGTTAACATCAGGACTAGTAAATCGTTTGGTTTCGGGTCCTCCTTCCGAATCATCATGTGAACGCTTGAAACCGCCGCCACCACCGCCGCCTACATTATTTGATTGTTGTTGGTTGGGTTGAATTTTAGCGGCAATCTATTTTAAGTATGCAGAAAAGAGAAAAGAAATCGCCAAAGAAAAGGGAGGGAGAGCAAAACAGATACAGGCTCACATAATGCAAAAGAATCGATTTTTCCCTAAAATTTTTTCTAAAATATCGCCCGACAACTTTCTTTACCTGTTTAGCTCTTTGTAAGGCTGCTGCAAATGCTTGGCTTTGATTTAAATTATTTTGGGCTGCTGTTGAACCACTAAAATCACTCATTATGTTACAATTTATAACAAATTCTCACAAAACACTTTTTATTTTCTTCTCCTTGGGAGATAGGCAAACCAGCACTTTGAAAAATTAACTAAAGGATCAAAAGTTTTTTAATAAATATTTATATTTTTTGTTAACGATAAAAAAATAAACTTTTGCTCTATTATAAAATTGACGGCAGAAACTTTTATTGAAAAATAACACAACTTTTCTTCAACAGTTCCCGAATGACGATGAAATGCGGTATGAAAAATACAAATGGCGGAGTTCCATATACAAGCAGAGTTACTTTCGAAGAACAAATCCACAAAGACAGAGTTATTCAATAAATTACATGAGAAAGTATTACATTGTTATATATATATATTTACGTATTATTTTATATTCCAATTATTAATATTTATTAATATGCGATTTATTGTTAATACGCCTAATAACAATAACCGAGATGTAAAAATATTTTTTATATGAAACAAAAATATCAAGAACAGGTTTGTTAACAAAATTTACAAATTTTCAAAGCTGCAAACGAGTGATGGGTACACTTGCTGCGCTTTGATGATGTACTCGGAATACCTGCCGGTTACAGTGGTTATGATGAGGAGCAAACTAGTGCGGGTAGATGTTTGCTGTGCTTGCACGAAAAGTGCACAATGTGTTTGCAATTTCTTAAGCGGGATATAGAGATGACGTTAATTAGAAAGATAGAGAAGAGAAGCATGTTTGAAGTATTCATTTCGTGTGTTTCACGAATGAAGTTACTGAGAATTTCTTCAGTTCATTGTTAATGTGTCGTTTGCTTAGCGAAAATAAGCTCGCAAGAAAATTATTTTTTAATATTCAAATTGAAAGTAAGCAGATTACTCCAAGATAAGATAAACTGTCTCATTGAGCAGAAAATTATATATTATAACCATTCTCGATGAACTTCGCAGGAGGAACGAACGGAAAGGATTTTCACACAGTTTTGACCACTTTTGGTTGATTTCCACTTTGTTCCACCTAAAGGTACAAATTAGTTGACTTCGATAGCCGTTTCACGTTTGTGCCTACGTAATTATTGAAAGTGAGGAACTTGTTTTATTGTAAAAAGCATTACTTTTTGATTTAACTAATTTGATAATTAAAAACAAAAGATCTTCAAAGCTACTTAACAAAAGCAAGAGTGATGGCTATTGATGTGATTGGTTACTTATATGCCGCAACTGTAGCTGCCGGGGGTGTAATGGGGTACGCGAAAGCCGGTTAGTAGAAAGCTACTTTGAAAATAAATTAATCTTATTTTTTGTTTTCTTTTTATCTTATCGAAGGCTCTCTTCCCTCCCTTAGTGCGGGTTTAGCGTTTGGGGCCATTTTAGGTTTGGGTGCCCATTATAACTCACAGGATCCACCTCGCCCTCTTTTACAATTCGGCACTTCTCTAGCCTTGGCTGGGATGATGGGTATGAGATGGAATCGTTCTGGTAAATTTATGCCCGCCGGCATGATTTGCATTATTTCAGTAGCTGCTTTGATTAGAAACATGATTACCTATAACCGTTATTTTCCATTGCCGGGTCGGAATTAGACATTGAAAAGTGAAAAAAAAGATAAAAAGGAACATGTACACTTGTGTAATTTTAAGATTTTCGCAAACATTTGTTGCAATTACTTAAGGAATTAAAGGTATTGTATTATTTTTTAGACTCATAAACAGAAAAATGAAAACGATCGGCTAAAGGTTATATTTGCTATATTAATAAAAGGATCCGAAAAATATGTCTCCATCCTAGAAAATATTTAAGCTACGTTTTATTTTTTGAAATCACGAAGTAGCATAAATTAATAATTCGTAATAACGAACTAATGAAGTTAATTTATTGAATTCGGTTTTTTAAGGGACGCCTTAGCTTTCATTGTCTCCTTCGAAGTTTTGCCTTACCAACTTGTATATCAATTGCTCATGGAGTGTTGCATCTAAATTATTCAAATTTTTTCTTTTAAATTCATTTACGGTAGCTTTACCATGGTTTTCGTCATTATAATTGTTCAGGCGGGCTGTGAAAGTGGAACTTCTTATGAAAAAACTTCACACATAAAGTTTAACTACATAATTTACTAAATGCATTTCATAGAATAATAATATTTCATAGGTAATAAATGGTAGTGGTGCAAGCGTTATTCGGAAAAAGACATCGAAAATCACTACACCAGCTTCGATATGTTTGATTTATTGAAGCTAACGTTCATCAGCATGTCGATGATTCGATTTATGTAAATAAATAAATTTTTCTTGACTTAATTTTATATCCATTTAAGCAATGTGCTCTTTATTTGCAAAAAAAATAAAATAAAATTTTAATAAAATAATTTCAATTTATTTAATAGGCCTTAAATTCTAAAAAAAATTTAATTTTTACCTTAGACGGGAACAAAAGAAATAGGGAAAAATTATTTTTATTGCTAAAATTATGTACTACTTTCAATGTTTGAAAGCCTACCTAAAAGGATCGGAGTATAAAAACTTAAATAAACGTAATTTCACATATAAATGTTGTGATCTTTTTATGTGCATTAAAATAATTGCATTACAATATTAACTAATAAACAAAATTTAACAATTACATCTAAAATAAATTTCCGGATAAAGTAGTACGAATTAACTTTTTTTCTTTTTTCGTCTATCACATTTTTATATCCACCGTAAAATGGGTTAAATAATAATGGATCTGGGTTAAATAATAATATGAAAATATGATTCGTAAATATTATAAAACGGAAGCCTTCCTCATTGGAAAATTGGGCAGCATTAATATTAGCCGATGAATTTATTTCTTGTAGGAACGTATTAAAAAAATGTACAAACGACTCAATATTGAATTAAGAGAATTTAGTGGGGAGAGCAGTTTTACAAATATATCAAGTATGGAAGTGAACCAGATCGACTGATCGACTTGCTCTTATTCCTTCTGTAACGAAAGCCTAAACTACGTGCAAGAAATCCTATCGGTAGTGATAAAATACACATGCAGGTATGTACAAAAAGCATTGAACACGTTTGTGTAGAGAAGGAAATTTGATAGGATTATCCTAAGCAGCGAAGCAACTACAACATCTTATGTGTAATTGGGATTAAGTTAGGTCGAATCATGGTTGGAATGTTATGTAAATGGCGTAGCGATAGATTGAAATACAAATGCAGGCAAAACTGTAATCACCTTCGTAGTGACAGACATGCCCCTGAGAAGGCAGCCTCTGGATATAAGAAAAATGCCTTCCATAGAATTGTCGAGACACAAGAACTATTTTTGAGAAATCACGTTCACTCCACAGGTATTCAAATATATCATACAACGTTCTATAAACGTAGTGTAATGTTTTCTAATATAGTTTCGTGGTCATTTTTTAATATAATTTCGAGATTATTTTTTAACATAGTTTTGTGGGCGTCTTTTTTCAACGTGATATTTTTGACATTTGCTCACGATATGGACATTATCACTTAATTGTAACAGTTGTTGCGTCAGCAAAGTTGTCGGCGGATATTCAAAGATTCGGTTTGATCCGAACAGTAGCTTTCTTGTAATAAAATTTAAATAGAAAATATATTATTTTCAATTTTCTTTAAATAATTTACAAAATACAACGAAATTTATTTATTTTTTTTTTAAATAAAAAAACAAAAAATATTTGTTCACTTAAGTAAATAAAATAAAAAATATAAAATTATTTTATATAATTTACAATAAAAATAAGAAATAGTTTTTTTTATACATATTTGAAAAGAAATAGTAAAAATAATAAATTCTAACTAAACGCATAGCAGTTAATACTCTGATATGCTATTTGTGTTCGCGATGCTGTTAACATGAATGGCATGGATTTATTTTCGATGAGCGAAGGATGCGATCTGAATGTGGTGGAAGGGAGATTACGAAAATTTATTGTCTTATGAGTTTTAATGATTTTACTAAATATCTTCAACTTAGATCCGTTTAGAAAACAGCAGGAATTTCATATAAAACATCTTCAGAATGGAAACGCCTTCCAGTTAACCACTAAATTAGAATAAGAGAGCAAAATAAAACAAACAAAAAAATTAATTATTTAAATTATTAATAAATTATTAATTATAAGAAATATTTTAATTAAAATGCCAAGCGAGGTTAGATTAAAAAAAAAGAAAACAAAGAAAAATAAAACAAAATGGAAGAAAACGTATTAGGGAAAAATGCTTTCATTCTTTCCATTTAATTTGCCACACCCGTCACGACTTTCCTTTATACATTAGAGCATTAATTCCACCGCTGTTTAAGCTGCCTTTACTTTTGTCTAAATCTATTCGTTTAAACAATTCCTGGACCGTTTTGAGTTTTCATTTTTGGATGTTGGGGTTAATGAAATGAATTTATTGAAGTTTTAGTGCTACAATTAAGTGATTTTGCCTTTATTGCGGTTGGGCTGGTTTTTATAGGTTACGTGTGTAATGAAATATGTCATGCATGTTCTTACGATTTACTTATATCAAAGTTGAGTGAATTTTTTGATATTCGCAAAATTTGGTGTAATATATAAATCAATACTCTTTAGCTGCTTTTTTTTATGATCTCTACGAGTGCGCATGAGTTTTTTGTTTATAATATATAGGTTTTTAGGCAACTTTTTCTGATGATAAATGTTTTTTATTGTGTTTACTTTAATAGTATCAGTTAAACGAAGACTGGAAAGGAGAAATATTTTTAAATTGTTGTTTCAATGGTTTCGACTTTACGATTTCTAATAGGAATAGTAATTTAATGATAGAAATAAGTATTATTATGTACTCGTTTTATGTATATCTGCGTTTATTTTTCCTGACCTAACATTATAGTTAAATGCATAGTTAAATAAAAATGTTATGTTCCTATTATAGTTGTAGCAAGTTGTAAACGAGCACTATGCCAAGCAGCAATATATGAATAAAAATTATATATTATATATGAGAATTTCATAAATCGAACAATTTGATCGATTACAAGTTGCTGGTTGTAATAATTTGATGGTTGTTGCTCCAGGGTTGTTTTAGACTTTTTTAGCTGTTATTAAACAGTTTCCTGTTGCAGTTTATGCAATAGATTATGGCGCTGATGCTAATCGAAAGATCGAACGTAATTTTTAGTGTTAAATAATTTATAAGATTAAAAGGAAAAGGTTTGTTGTGGAAATAATAGTCAAGTGCCTTCTCGTTCTAAAGTTGTAAGAAGCATTTCTTATTTGTGTCATAGATTAGCACAAACACGATATGTACGCGTTGTGGGATTCTTATAAATACAAAGTTGAGTTTATATTATGATTTCTGCATAAGTGAATAAGAATAACATGCCAAACGTTATCATCGTTGTGTAAAGAGAGAAACTGTATGTTATTTCTCAAAGTTCGGGTTCGAACGATACGAGCACTGTATAAGCATAAATTGTAATACTGTCCCCTAAATCTAGCTATTCGATTAAACCTAGTGGAAAAGTTTAAATTGTTAAATAGATTTCATAATGTTCCTAATTTAAAATGTTTGTGTTTTGTATAATCAAAGAGAGAGGATCTTGCGAAATACGATATTGTGTCATTTAATCATACGATGTATTTAACATTTTCTGGCTTTTCGTTTTTCCACATAGTGTAAGCTTTAATCTTCGCACTTTTATGCTCATCTGATAGTTTCAATGAAATCTGAGATTTTTTGTTGGACAATTTTAAGTTAATATGAAGTGTAATTATTGCTATTAAACTATAAAATGTTTTTAAATTAAAGAAATACTTATTATATGGAAAAAGCTAAGACTACTTGAGCTATGTTACTACAGCGGTTTTAGTGGTGCATTATTTGGAAATTAAAAAAGCTTAGAACATCTCATATTGCACTACTATTGGGATTTTTATTAAATTTAAAAAAAAAAGAAAGAATTCATGCAGTTTTAATACAGAATTGTTCTAATCTACATAAAATAAAAATCATAAGCGAAAAGCCTCTAATGCTTTAAGACAGGCTTGCTCAATACGCATTGAAGGTCCTGCATGCATTAGCGGAAACGAACATTAAAAAAATTATACATTTTTTCAGCAATTTTTTTATAACAATTTTTTGGAAAGACATTAGGTGCAAAAGATTTTTCGAATTATTTTCCTTTATATATAAATATTTAACTCTAGAGAGTTATAATGAAGCCAAAAGAATGAACAAGCCTGTAGGTTGAGGGGTTTATGATTTATGAATGAAGGTTTAAAAGGTGACTTTTCTTCTTCTTAAGTGTAATTTTATATGAAGATGTGATTTCTTTTCTACTAAAAATCTAAACAAAATGCTTACCGCCGAAGTAATTTTGGTTTTCGTTTATTTATTGTTTTTTTTTAATACTTTAGAATTTTTACTGTCACTCAAAGTTATATTTTTTCTTATTTGTTTGCAGAAACTGAGTGATATAATTGAGTAAGTGGAAGAGGAGAGGCAAGATAGAAAGAGATAGGGAGAGCGAGAGAGAGAGCGAGACTGAGTGATGAGTGTTACAGATTTTTTTTTTTTATTTAATTTGTGTTCGTAGTCTTCTTATGAGTTTTTGTGTTTTAATTTTAGGCTTTCTCGTTGTTGTTGCTGTTGATGTTTTTTGTTGAGTTCTTGTTTGCTGCTTTTGCTGCAGTTGATGCTGTTGTTTTTGTTGCTGTTGTACTATGGATGATAAACGTTTACTTTGATCGCTAATGAAATTTGTCACATAGATTGGTGGTGTTTGTGGTGTTGTTGTTATTGTTTCTAATTCCTTCACTTGGTTGTTGTTGCTGTTGTTGTTGTTTTGGTTGTTGTGATTATTACTACTACTATTATTAGTATATTCATTTTGGTTGTTACTGTAAGAATGATTATTTGTACTAATACTACCGCTACCCGTGGTATGGTTTAGCGTACGTTTTAGAAATTGGGCTTCAAATGAATTTTTATTCGACACTGGATAACTTGGCGCTAATTTCGTTTTCACTTTTTTTAATGCGGTTGTTAAGGTTGTCGCCGCAATAGATTCGGTTGTTGAAGTCGAGGCCGTAGGTGCATTCAGGACATGTAATTTTTTGAAATAGTTTTCAAAGAATACATGTGTCGGATTATAATTACGCGTTGTTGTTGATTTAAAACCATAACGAGATGTGCCGACAACAGCTATAGGAGCAGTAGTGGTAGGCAGTGGTGTGGAAGAAGCTTGCTGCTGCATGCTGGTGATGGTGTTGGTGATGGAAGTAATGGTGGTGGTTGTGCTGATGGCATGAGAAGTTTGGGGAGGAGGACCAGGAACGGGAAGAGAAAACTTACGTTTTTGTTTTTCAATAGCCTCATTGTTTTCCTCATTTTCCTCAACGAAAGCAAATCCGCCTCTAGTTTCATCGTCCAAGTCATCAAAGCTGTCTTCATCCTCCCCGTTATGTAGATGACGTTCCTGATTACTGCTGCTGGCGCTAAAGGGTGTAGAGGTTAAATACGTAACTCTAGATTTACTACTGTTATAACTACTACTATTAGTTCTACTGCTGTTGTTCCTAATTATTAAATTATATTATTGTGTATCTCTAAAATTTAAATAATTTTTCATTTGTTTGAATAGTGTATTTAACAGTGTTGTCTTGATTATGGTGTAAGAAATGACTTAATAGTTTAGTGTTTTTTGTTATTGTTTAGTGTTTTCGCAGTTTTGGGGATTTCCACTGAGAGAAGTTAACAAAGTTAGAAGTGTCGCTAACATTTTGTTTATGTTTTCAATTCCGTTGCTGTTGCTAATTTAGGTTTTAATTGTTTCCCCTTCTTCCTACATATCTAATATAATCGCCATTGGGGCCTTATAAAGAAAAGCCATTGTTTTTGTTGTTCTTGTTATTGCAATGATATTGTATGCAGCCATAGTTGTTGAAAAAACTGTTAAAAATTTAAAGTCATATAACTCATTAGTGTTTGTGTACCGTATACAAGTAATAATTGTGTTGCTTTTGCTGTTGATAAGCAATATTCTTTTCGTTTAAGTATTCAGCTAAAGGTTTACCGTATTATATGTTTGACCTTAACCGTAGTTTTCACTGTTAAGTGGTTTCCGACATTTGTTATTTAACTACCTTTTGTTTTTGCTGGTGTTCTTTATTACTATTATTATCCCAATTTTGTTGATCATTAACATTATTAGTCATATTATCATCATCATCGTCGTCATCATCATCATTATCATCATCATCATCATTATCATCATCATTATCATCATCATCATGGTCTTTACGATCATAATGCTCTTTAAAATCTTCAAATGCCTCTTCATTATCGGCGTCATCGTCGTCACGCTCATTATCGACTTTATCATCATCTTCGTCACTAACATTCTCTTGTGATTGCTCATTGAAGTCGGTATTGTCACCAAGAGCCTCATTTATTCTTTTGTTGTTGCAATTATTGTGTACGGTTTTATTTGTTGTTGTTGATGTATTTTATGTAAAAATTTGTGTTTTCAAACGTTTTAAGTAGGAAATGTTGTTCAGAATAAGAGAGAAAGAGTAATGTTAGTATATAAAGTTTTCCTTTTTCGTTGGAAATATTCTGATAGTGTGTTTAATAGCAAATAATTGGAAAAAGAACAAATTGCATTTTACAAATATTTTTTAATGCGCTCGAACTACTGTTTTTTTTTTTTATTTTTATTTTTTAAACCAATTAATTACTGTATATTATATAGAATATTAGTGGTGTGCGCTTATTGCTAATGAATCCTTGGAAAACTTACTTGTAACCGACTTTGGTCGATCCGTAATTTACAGCATTCGATGGCAGAGTTGAACATCGACCATCCAGGCAGTGCTGCAAAAAATGAAAGCATTAATCAATTGTAAGGAATTGCTTTAATAAGGCGGTACGTGCCAAATTTAAACGAATGACAAACGAATTTTAAACGGGTTATATGATTTGTTCTTGAAATTGTGACAATGTTTTAGACACGAGTAGCCAAGCGCATAAGACGAGCACGAGCACCAAGTCAGTGCGCTCAAAGTCTCACGTGCGGTAGAATTTACACTGATGGTAGCTATTGCGGAAAGTCAGGCGCCAAAAACAGTAGGCTATGGCCGTCTCCTATTTTATTGATTCTAACGATGCTACATGAATAGGGAAGATTATTTGGGTGATATGCGAAATAAAAAAGGAAAACAAGCTCATTCTATAGCCAGTTAGTTTCTTAAAGATCGATGGTTAGCAGTACTGAACCTGTTCTGCAACCTGAATGCGCCACTAATGAAACTAGATTAGATATATAGCCGTACTCTGGCAGTTACAATGCAACGCAAAATTGGTCTACTTTGAGGTCTATCACAAATTTGGAAACTTCAAAATAAATCCCAAGCTTTGGATTATGATTAGAGGTAAAAAAATGTCATTAGATTGCAGCGTAAACGATTGTTAAAACATTTGATGGCTAAAGGCGACGCGTTCAAATTTAAAGACTCGCTCCTCAAGCAATTTTATACACTCTTTCAAGGCCTTGCTGTGTAGTGTTATCGACAATTCCGAACTACTTGGAAATTAAAAAAATTTCTGTGCGCCCTTTAGCATTGTGATATGTGAAATCTGAGGAAATCCATTTTAATTTGCTCCAGTTTTTTAAAACCCTTCCTTTTTCAACGCAATACTAAATTTAATATTAAGTCACAGAAATTATAATACAGTGGCGAGCTCTTATGATAAGTGACATCTCACAACGCCAGAATAAGCCTGCTAGTTACGAATTGACTCCGAAATTTGGCTAATCGAGTTCGCTCTTGTAAGCGGGATTGTGGTATGGTGCGGAATAATGTTGTACTTAAAACTTAAATTAAAAAAGAAATATTTGCCTTTGCTCAAATCGTTTTCTTCTCCTTTTTTTTTTTAAGAACGTATAATTTTTGTTGAAAAATTCCCCAGGGATGGGTGTTCAACTTAACTAAATACTTGATATTAATTAGAAAAAATAATTAACTAAAAGACTAAATGCTTCGACACGATTGCAGTTTTCTGGTGCCAAGTAATAAAAGCGTCGCATCTTCCATCTTCTTGCTAAAGTTTAAAGTTCTTTAAATTTTTTTTTTTTTTTGCTTTTGGATCTCTCACTCTACATTGTAATAAATAATCCCCTCTTGTCTGTTGTATGTCGTAAGTTTTCGTTCAAATTGAATTTTTATCGACTAATGGAGGGTTTTTTTCGATTGTGTGGCTATTTTCCAAAAAAATTACCCAAACTTGCAGTGTACCCACTGAAGGATGAGGATACATTCATTTTGTTTTTTCTATAATGCATGCCAAACGGAAGCCTCAGGGACCTCATAAAGTATACATTTTCTTGAACAATGCAAAATTTCGAATTGGTTAAGCCATTACTCTTCGTGTATGCGTCTGGGTGGTGATGACCCTCTCCTGGTTGAGGAGATATCGGTTGGAGATATCGACTTAAAATTTGACAGAAACATTGAAAGTTTATATACGCAGCTTGGTATTAAAAATGGTCCAAATTGATCAGAGCAGCAAGCCCCAGTGACGCATAAACTGAACGCAACTCCGTGGGTTTCTGCGCGTCGCTCAGAAATTATCAATGTTAAAAGGCTGAAAATTTTCACATTTACTTTACGCAGAACACTACCCTTTTACGTGCAAAAAAGCAAAAAATAATCGACCATGCCCATAATAATTTTCAAGTGCTTATACTTTTTTTTTCACTTTTTTGCGGTTTTATGCTTATTTTCCGTAAGGTATCTTTAAAACTATTTTGTACATTCCTCAAATGAAGATATATTACATAACTGAAAATGGGTTAACTCGGAAATGAATATGGTAGACACCGTGACATGATGAAGTAATTTTTTCGTAATAATACCAGCGATATGGGTATCAAATCATTTTTGCTTTTCGCCACATTCTCTTTCACTTAATCTTTTCGCGGGAAATTATGTATATTCGATTTGTCCGATAATTGTAAAAAAAAATTTTCGCAGATTTTGAAAGAACTTTATAACTCACCAGACCGTTACCGCATGACGAACCTTCAGCAGCTGGCCTATAGGCTACACAGTAGCCTGTTTGAGCATCAAAGCAAAATAGTTGAGCACAGACTCGTTCATCCTTAAAACAGGCGTAGGTGCCACGATCCCGACGGCATTGAGCATCCAATGACAGTAAGGTGCCAGGTAGCGAACGACCCAAAGCACTGTCCTCATGAGGAGCGTTATGCAAACAGGTGGCAGTATCACCGCTAAAAATATTGACAATATTTACATTAATTTTGAAGTAATTATTTTGTCGCTGCATTAGTGGAACGTACTTTAAAAAATGATGAAAACTTTGCACGGTACACGGTGACCAACGGAACCCTCTTTCGGTATGTCGTAAATCAGACATTATGTAACCATCTTCCCAACGACAGCGTTGCGCTCCCGGCCCGCCCAAATAACTGGGCGGAGGCGAACCATCGTGAACAGCACCAAGTCTAATCAAATATTATAAATTTATATATAGAATATTATTTTTAGATATTGACAAACTTGTCGAACACTTACAAATGTCCCACTTCGTGTGCAGCCACAATGATGCCGCTAAAACCACCGGTGTCTTCAATAATCGCCACACTGTTCACTTTCTCTAAACGTTTGTTTACAACACAAGCTCCTCCCACGTAAGCGAAGCCTAAGTATATGGAATTGTTGTTGTTTTTGTAGAAAAAAATTTAAAAAATTAATAATATAAATTTTAAATTACTGCAATAAAATGTTTTTAGGATTTTATAAAGTCTTTTAATTATAATTAGGTTATGTAGAAAATATTGAGTCTTATGCAAGAAGAGCCAGCTTCCATTAGTACCATATGCCGATTCATGTAAATATATAAATTGAATGAATCAAATAGATATATATATTTTTTTAAAATAATGTTTAAATAATTTGTGCAGTGTATGTGTATTTGTTTGTTCAGTTTAGAATGTTGAAACATCATGCTTTTTGCATATTTAAATTGCCTTACATCAATGTTAAAATATTTAACTATTAGAATAATTTTATTCAGATGCAACCCATAGCTCAACAAATTCATACCAGATTATCGTATCGAGATATTGAAAGGAGTTTTCACCTTGAGGCGAACATCCATTACCAAGTTGTCTAAAAACTAACTTAAATAAATTTACTAAAAGGATAAAAGAATTGGAGCATTATATAATAGTAATGTTCATAGACCTTTAAACGAATCTAGGCTACCCCCTCATCTTAGATGATTTATATTCATGGCTAACTTTTCTTGGTGGCAAGCTTACGGAAACAAGTAGCAGTTTATTTTGATTTCTACGTAGCTTTAAGAACTATTTACACCTGACTTTAAAATGATATCGGAAAAGATTGCGGATGAAGGTAACAGTACTTAAGGCACTACCTCCCGTATAAAGACAAAAGGATTTTTTATTTTTTCCAATTTTCGATAAAGTTGCTTGATGTAAATATGCTGTGGTTAACTGCGTTCTCCACGAATGACATTTTGATATGCTTATCTTCGATGGCTGAATAGCAAGTCGATTTTCGGGCCTGGTATGCTGTGTGTTAGATCTCCCTTTGATTCCATGATGACACTCCGCGCTATAGTCGTTCAACGTACTTGAAGATTCATGAATTCCCTCCTTTTTTTCTCCATCATATAAAAACTTGGACTTGGATCTAAGGCATCCCGGCTGCACGCTTCAAGATTCTGTGTAAACATATAAGTAAAACAACTGCAGCTATTCGGTGAAATTGTGTCTAAATTCAAATTTTGCCCACTGGATCCGCTGCGCACGCACTTGTCATTTAACCTTTAGACAACCTTTAAACTTGTTTCAGTTTTTTAGTTATAATAACTATGCTTAAGGACGAAACACCCTCATAGTTTTCTGCTCGGTAGAAATTGATCTATTGCTGCTTTTTATATCCACTTTTGCGTTTGGAGTATTTAAATTGTACATTGACCGCCGGATGTTTGCCGAAATGGGCAGACGGGCATAATTAAGTTGATTAAGGATTACATACTTTATGCTTCACTGGGTGTCTGATTTATGTTTACATATGGCATGGAGTGATTACGTTAGCAAATCTTCGCTCAAGAATTCATTCAAAAATGATATATCATAAGCGATAAATAAACTAAGAACTTCGTAATCTTGAAGCGCATCTTGGGTATTTACTGGATCAGGTATAGCAAGTCAGAAAATTATATTCAGTTGGGACCGAATTATCGATCTTACAGAATGAAAAAAAGAGAGAAAGAACTATAATATTTGGTGGGCGTAGACGATTTTTCCCGTTTTTCGACAAATAACTGTAGCATTGCCCATAAACTAAACGCTTAAATTTTTGTAGATTTATCTGCTGTGGTTTTTGAGTAATGAGAGGAGAAGATCGCTGTTTACCGATTTGGCCCATTGTCAATACTAAACCTGTGAAGAAGAACTCGCATCGACAGGTTTATATTTGCGGCCAAGAGCATTTTTACAACAGACGGACAGACGGACATGCTCAAATCGATTTAGAGCTTGTTGCTGATTTGTGGTCTCTGAAGATTCCTTTTCGACATGGCAAACGTTTTGACAAAATGAACATACCCGTCAAACTTATATGATGGGTATAAAAAGAAGAAGCGAATTAAGGGCGCGCGATCAAATCGGTTCAAAGTTTATAATCTATACAGAGTCTGTCTATCGTATGTTCGAAGTATGTTACAGATGAAATGAGGAAATTAGTATACCCGATATTGGGTATAATAAGAGCACAATATATATACATACAAATTTGAAAAATAGATAAAAATAAAAGTATTCTGCAAAAAAGTTTAGCGGAACACACACAGAGAGAGAGAGAGAGAGAGAGAGAGAAACATAAAAGCGTGCAAAAAAAGATATCATTTTACTAATTTATAACAAACAGTTGCCGTTTGCGGCTTTTGCGAGAAATTTTTGCAATTAATTACCTGCAGTACCACGATTACATTCATCATTTTCAGTGGCACGTCGACACATATCAAGTCTGAATAGTTGTAGTTAAATGAGTGAATTAATTTGGTTTTTGATCGTAAAGAATTGTGAGGTGGGCGTAATAAGAAGAAAAGAATTTCATTTATTCATATTAACATATATATGTATTTGAATTATTATACGATTTAGAAGTAAAGAGAAAAAATTAAATAACATTTCATTGTTGCATATAAAGTGAAACGAAACGAAACGAAAGAAAAAGAAGAAATAATTTGCAGACATTTTAGAAAGAAAGAAAATCTAATGAACAGAAATGAAATGAAATTTCAAATTATTTTATTGCCTCTAGATAAAGAAAAACTTGAATTATAAGCCCAAGTTTACTCTTTACTTGGTCTCGATAGGACAAATTTGGAAAAAAAACTCTTGATGACTCTTGAATCGGCTTAGCTCGTACATCCTAATCCTCGACATTCTAATCGTAGCTAAAACTAATAATTTTTGTGTTTCCATAGTCGAGTCAAATCGTTTACTAATCGAACGAATAATCGTTTATATGATCTCGGATCTAAAAGTACTTGTAAGTCATCTATCCGAGAACTCAAATTGGGAAAAGTTCTCTTAAATCAAAATAATCTTAAGTCAAATCGTACATAAGCAGTCGCTGTTTTCTATCCTAAGACAATTTTTTAATGTTAGTGAATTTTTCGCATTTGAAATTTAGGCGCATTTTGCAAAGGTTTATGCGCAAACTCAATCGTTTTACAAATTTTTAGGTCGAATCGCAAATAACTTTCGATCCAGAGAGGTAGAATCTATTGTTCGTATTTAGCCAGTATAAGTTCCTGAAATAAACAAGTTTTTGTTTTCCTTATATAGATAAAGATTTAGTTAGTCTTCTGTCAACTCTTTTATGTGGCGTATATTATATGCAACTGTCTTTTTTAACCTCTAAAATGGGGACTCATATTCGACACGTATTGTTTTGGGAATTAAAGCAAAACAATACGTAAGGCCGACAACTGAAAAAATATGCAGCGTATACGGTGAAGGACTGATAATTGATCGGGCAGTTAGAAATTGGTTTGTAAAATTCCATTCTGGAGATAAGACCTTAAAAGGGGGCATGTCCTTCCATCTTTGACGACAAGCTTTCAAGGGCAATATTGGAGAAAAATCCACGCCAATCAACAAGAGATATAACAAAAAGCTTGAATACCTTATAATCAAATATAATTTTGTCATTCAATGAACTTTATGACGCGACTTAATATATTATATTAAAAATGGGTGTAAAGATGGTCGTAAAATTGTACAAGACTCTCTCTCGTTTTTTCCGAAGATTTCAATTACCTGCAAAATATTGTAGAAGATTGTCAGCGTGGAAGGTTTGCATAGTCCCTTTGACATTTTAGGCATAAAGACGAGTAATCAAGTAGAACTTTTTCGTTTTAAAATCAGAAAGGACGCTGAGGGTAATATGCAATCAATCTACACCAAGGCTACGAAATTTCATACTATGTAAGTAGGAAAGTATAATTTGTGGTGTGACCCATCACACCAAGGATTAAAGCGGATTCTACCTGCTGAACGCCATATGTCCTAATCATTGGACTGCACGGTAGTCAGGCAGAAGTTGTGCAAAAAAGTATCAAGCCTAAAACAGAGTCAAAAAACGATTAAGGAAGACACGACTTCTATTCAATAAGCGATAGCGAACCTTTAATAGCATAAAATGATAGAAGTAGGTTTTTTTATACCCTACACCACTTGTGGTACACTGTACATCACGTTGGAGCGGACATATGTAGCACCCAGACAGGTTTAAGATAGACCCACCTTTTATTACGCCTATTTAGAATATGATTCTGAATCGATCTAACCCTGTCTGTCCGTCTGTCTGCCTGATGTCTATCCATGTATTTTTGTGTTCAAGTTGCAGGTCGTCATTTTTGAGATATTTTGATGGAATTTGGCCCACTCACATGTTTTGGCCCAAAGACGAACGCTATGAAAAATGATTCAGATCGGAACACTTTTTCAATCACTTTCCATATAAAGCCTTAAATTGAAAAGTCTTTCTATGAATGACTATATAGTATAGCGAGATGGTGTAGGGTACCTAACGGTGGAAGCGTGGCCTATTATAATGCTCTTGCTTATTAAAACATGAGATTGTTAGACGCTGTGTACTTTTCAGGCATAGTCAACGAAGAATACAATTGAGTATTGGGAGCAGACAATCAGCAGGAATACCTTATGCATTTGATAATAGGATTTTAGTCGTTGTCATAAGGTGACTCTTTACTGTTAGCATAATTCGATTTTGAGATTTCCATTGTAAGAAGAAATTCAGCGGCAACGCTAGTAGTCGTCTCTTTAACAGGCTATGGACATATTAATGAAAATTTGACTTTAGCCATGCCCTGTATTGTGGTATTTCCGTAAACAGATAACAGATCACTTTTTTAAATTAAAAGACAAAATGTTAAAAATTAATCATTTCTTGTATTTTTAATTAAAATGTGCAACAATATCTTTCGTTCCCTTGTCTGTCCGTGACATGTAGCAAAACTTCCTACGTTGAATTATGTTGTTTGCGATTATTTAAATACCACATAACCTTCGTCTAAATAACAAAAATATTAACATAACAAATAAATATGAAATGTGCTTTAAATACGTTGTGTAGTCTATTCATATAATGTACGTGTGTGTTTTGTGTGTTTATGTGCCAAATTAATAATTAATAAAAATATAAAATCTAAAAGGATATGTCAGTGATTTATATGCTACTAAATAGCTAAAACTACCACAGCGAGGGAACGGGGGAACGGGGGGGATATGATCCAAAAACTACTCCACCACAAACGAAAAATAACGGCAATTAATTTTAACCGCTGGTTAATGAGGTGATAAACAAGAACAATAATAACAAGAGATAAATAAAAACTGAATGCTTTACTCAAAGCATTTAATAAGAAGATAGGAGAATAACTTTAGAAGGAAATGAAAAATATATGATATTCGATGAATTAGAAGCAAGCGCTTCGGAAGAATGCTTTACAAGTAAGAAAGATCTTTGGTTGTCCGCCTACTTATTTTCTTTTTGGTTTAGCAAATGTTTTGATATCTGCTTAATATATATTAAGCAGGTCGCAAGATTGTTTGGATAAGCGCTGATTGCTGTTGGCTTGCGTAACCCTAAGTACGATTTACGTAAGAGATAAGCTAGTATGATGCAATGTTACCTTTTGAGAAGCGTTTGGTCACATTCCGAAGAAGCCTTTGCTTGGTTTATATTTTAGCTGTGCGCCTTAGAAAAGGCTTTATAGAAAATCTTGTATGGAACATCTTTTAAAATCAGGAAATGCCAGGAATCATGTGCGGTTTTCTAGAACGCAATATTCCAAAAATAGATAAATATTTTAAGGTTCGTTTTTTTAGATCGCAATACAAGTCCCTAAGGTTCTTCATAACATATTCTCTGTATGCTTATAAACGGTTTTTTACTCCCGGCTCGTTTTAAGATACTTCCGAGTACAGAAAAACCAGTCATCATATATCCATTCTAAACTAATGGTCAGCACTTTGCATTCTGAACTGATTTGTGGGAAGAAGCGAGAGGATTTTTTCAAATGTAACATTTTCGGCATATTAGTTAGAACTTGAAACCTGCCTTTGAAAGAATCATTGATCATATTTTTATTCTAAATCAAAAACATAGTTCGAAAATTATTGAATAGAGATAAGCTTCGAAATGATTCTCAAATAAGGCTGAACGCTTTCTCTGTTCGAAAGCGTGCTGCAATTTCGGCCGTGCTCTCAGAAGACTTGTTTATTTCCTTCATTCCAGACAAGTAGTAATTTTCGAAAATTTTGGCTGGCATGGAAGTATGAAGACATTAAAACTTCAAGGTCATGCCAATTTCATTCAAAATTTATATTCTTACCCGAAAAGTTTAAAAGTTGAAAAGAAGACATAACTTTTCTTCGAAGAAATAAATATTAGTCCCGCATGAAAATATTTTCTTTTAAACCGAAAAATAGAATCGGGAGAGAAAAAGCACGAGAAAAAAGTCTCTCTCTCTCTCTCTCCAAATTTAACTAGAATGCACTTAAGGCGTGGCAAAAGCACACAAATCAGTACTTATCCAAATGTCTTGGCGGTTAGCCTAATGTCGGCTTAACCCTAGAGCTACAACACATAAAAGAAGACCAGCCCTAGGGCTTAGTACTAGTGGTGCGATGCTGACTGATCATAGAATTATGAATCATGTAGGCACACTATTATATATATTAATTGCAAGAAGATTAGGGAGATTTTTCATAAGAATTTTCCAAAAATTATATTGAGGTCTATTTTTTTTTGTTCTTGTTATTATTATTTATGTTTATCACCAGGAACAAAAGTAACTAATTTTTAAGGATTTAAGGGAATAAAATTTCATAAGTATTTTACCCGCTGTGCCTTTGGTGCAACGACCTCCTTTACGCCTTCGACACATATCATATCTAAATAATTAGGATATAAGATGATAGTGATTCTTTTTTTTTTTTTTTTTTTTTTATTAAAGTCAAAATATTTAGAAGAAGTTTGGAAGGCTTTTTTTTGAAGGAAGGAGAACAAATTATTTAGTATAAAATAATCATTGGAGCACTTACTTTGTTATGGCTACGGCGATATCATAGACTGGTAGACGTCTTTCGCGGAATAAATATTTACCCATATCTGTTAAAGCAGCAGCGGAATCTATGGCGTCACGTCCCACGCGATTTCTTTCCAAATAGGGTGTAGCGTCACGACCCTAGAAAGAGAAAAGGTAACAAAAAATGTTTATTTAAAAATATTTATATCACTTGCCTCATGTATCATATCTATCTTGTTAATACGATTTCTAATTATCTGCGTACTCACGTTTTCTACATCAACTAACCTTTTTTTTTTTTATAGGATTTTTGTATTTGGATTTTTAGCTTAACCGGCACATGTTTGTGAAACATGATTTACATTTCATTTAAATACGATGTGTTTTACTTAATTTGTTTATTAGCTTAGAGGTTTAATTATTTTATTCTTTTCTCTTTCAATAAATTTCAATTACCATGTTTTTATTATACATAAAAGCACATGCGAGCACACGCTAGATTCATTTTCATTTGTATAAGTGATAGTGGTAGCGATTGACAAGTCGTTGAGGTAATGTAATCGAATGTAAATGTCGAATGGAACAAGAATTATAAAAAAAAAAAAGACGCTTTCAGAGAACACCACTCAGCAAGGTAGACGTCAGTTATTAACACATCAGCTGGAGTAAATAAATGAAAAATATCTATATGACCTAAAACGAAACTTATACACTCTATCTTGAAATGCAATTCGCCGGGTTTTACATGTGCATGTCGAAGTAAGGAAATGTTTTGTTCTTCAGACGCGCCATAAAGTGATCCTCAAATACAGTCTCTAATAATATTATGCTTGCATTCGCTTATTGCTTTACGTTTTTGAATTCGATGCTTCTTCTTCAATTATAACTGCTTTACCTTTAGAATCCATGAAGCATTTGAAAACAACCTCTACTCGGACTGCGTTAAATTCGTAAATTCAATTCGAATGTTAGGTATAATCCATTTTTAATCTAAACGTGAGGTTTCGAGAAGCAGTGAGGCTGAGCACAAGGAAATGGTTGAACAAAACAACAGGAATGTAAGAAGATAGCCAGTTAGGAAACTCAGGCGTTCGGGGGACAAGAGGTACTAAGCCGTAAAATGGGAACGAAACCGATACGGTATAGTAGAGAGGCAGGCTGATGTGGAAGAGGGGAAGAAGAGGGCAAGAGCGACAGTGGTTTAGAAAACTAGCGTAATAAGTGGAGAAGACAGCAAGGGAATGAAGATGCGGCGAGACAGGATGGTGGTAAGGCAATGGTAGAGGAAGCATAGAAAATGAAGACATAACGCGATGGAAAATTATTGACAGAGCGAGAGAAAAGCTTGTTAACGCAGAGAGATAGGAAGCTAGAGATATGGATTCTGTACTTTTCTCGAAGAATAACAAACGTAGCTTCTTTACAGATTAGCTAATATTTCCTGATACAGTTTCGCTTAAAGAAATAGGACATAATATGGAAAAGTAACTATGTATTTAAGTAAGTATTTAGTTATAATAAATGCCAGAGCCCTAGCTCACCATAGTACGCCTCCACCTATTAAATATGTGTAAAATTTATCTTTAGTATAATATATACTGCAGAGATTGTGGAAGCCCTGCGCATACATTTAAGCACGATAGTGTTCAAAGTCTCTCCGTCCGTCTATTAGACGTGCTTTAAAGGTTTGCCTTCATCTATTCGCGCAGTAAAATGTTAAACCTTACAATTATAGATTGTCCCAAAAATTTGCGCAAGATTTTAATTTGCCGCCATTTAAAGTGGGAAAGTGAATCCAACAAAAAAAAGGAACAATTTGACGACTGGCAGTTTAGGGTTAGAGAACAACGCTTTTTCATTGTTGAATAATGTTTTAAAAATAATAAAAGTTTGGGGACTACATCCCGCAAACGTCGTACAAAATATGGTCACCTTGATGGCTTCCTCGTAATCCTTGTAATTGCTGCATTTGAGGTTCAGCGAACCTACATATTAACATCTCACTGTTTGGGGCGAATTTTGACCTGAAGTCATACTTCTTCGAAAATGAGGCTGATCAAGCCACGACTGATAGTGGTGTTCGATAAACCAGTTATTTCCGTGATGTGCACATCTGATTGCCACATGCCATACACCCCGTGAAGCAATTCAATTAGTGCGTGAGACATTCCCTGATCGTCGTGTACTCTCTCTTTTCGGTGATCAGAGTTGGCCAACTAGATCATGTGATTTAATACTATTGGATTTCTTTTTATGGCATTACTTGAAGTCAATGATCTATGTCAGCGAGACCGCAATCACCCAGGCAACGAAGTAGGAGATTCAACGCTGCGTTAACGAAATTCAAGTACACTTATGGAAAAATTTGATAAGAAAGTGCGTGTATGTCAGAAAAACCATGGAAGCCATTTGCCCGATGCTCTATTCGACATCCTATCCTAAATGCATTATAATTCAATGAAAAAATTACAATTAAAAAAAAAAAACAGTTTGCATAAATTTTGGGACACCCTATATAACTGCGATACATATTTCGCAGGGTCTTTAAATACCTCCCAGCATGTCCTGCGAAAAGTGTTTGTAGGTTTTTTTGATTCCTTAGCAAAAGGGCAAACTAATGATTAGGAAATGATTTGTCTTAAGTTAGACACAATTTCTTTACGCTTTGATATAAAATGAATTTCCTTTTAATTGAACTAAATGAGTTTTTTTTTTTTTTTAAATGGTTTTATTGACTTTATGTAAAAGGTGAGTGAAACTTTTGCAAGTGATAAATCATCGAGTATCACGTCATGTGGCACTTTGGCAATAAATGGTGCAATTACAAGTAAAAGCTTCAAGGCCGTGAAAATTCAGATTAAAAACAATGCATTTATTATTAGCAGCCATGTCTAACTCTATACTATTCACGCATACTTACTTACTTACTTATTAACGCAATTGCGTCATAACCTGTAAACAGATAGCTGTCTGCACAAATGCAACTTTTAACTTGTTTCAGTTCAATAAGTTAAAAGCAAAAATTAGAATGTTTAGTGTTTAGTGTTTTTTTTTTTTTTTTTTGGTGTAATTTTTTTATTTTTCGATAAAATTAATTGCTCTTAAGCTGAATAACTGTAAAAACCTAAACGCTTTTACACTATTTATGACAAATTGTTTGCTTTTTTTTTTCTGTTTTGTTTCTTTTCTAGAGCAATTTTTGTTCAAAATTTTTGTTCAAAAATTTCCCATAAAACAAATAAAACTGAAAATTTTGTTTAAAATCTTTCTTAGCAAAAAAAATGCAAAAAAAAAAATAAAAAACTAATTTTAAAGCAATATTAACCATAATAATAATAATAAGTTATTTAAATGTTTATTGTAATGAAATAAACAAGTATGGTATTATATATTATGTACGTATGTTTGTATGTATGTATATATGTATGTATATATTATTGAATATTTGTTGTTTTATTTATTTACTTATTTTTCTCTCAAATGTCAGTTGTTTTTTTTGAAAAACAGAAAAACATGTTTTTTCTGTAAATTGCATTGAATGCCGCTCATCTGCTTTTTTTTTTTTTTTTTTTTTTTTTTTTGCAGAGTTTGCTCCTATGGCACACAACGTCGACAATTGTATATGAAGATGATGCTAGTGTTTCATATACATTAAGATTAAGATTTACTTATAACCTAATTGCTAACTTATAGTAATAATAAAACATGCCAACCGCAAATATGCTTTAAAGGTTAACTTGTTGCATTTGCTAGCGTAAATAACCAACCAACACAACCACCACAAGCACTTCGTTTCGGTTTATTAAGTTCAGTACTATTTGGTTTTTTTTTTTTTTTTTTTTTTTTTTTTTTTTTTTACAATTTTATGTTTTTTGCTTCTTTTCATTTGAAAAGGTGATGAAGAATTTTTGGTATCAAAGATCACTAAAGGAAAAGGTCATACGTAAGCAAAGAGGAACAGGAAAGAAATTCATGATTTACATATCCAAAAGCGGTGTGTCAATATTGCAAAGATTATACAAATAAATGATCAAGTTTTATATTTCTCAAGAATTGTCTTTGCAACGTGATAACATCTTCCAGAGTTAGCGGAGAGTTTGAAAACATAAAAAATTTGAAGCTAAGCAGAAGATGCGATAATAAGTTCAAAGGTGAGATGGGACTTATCCGTTGTGTGTGTGATCGTATGTTATTGTGTGTGAGGAATAAGTTTGTCCGTGGATGAGATCTTCGTAGTTGGAGACCTGTGGCTGCTTTCAATATCTCTTTTTTATCCGTTGTACTGGAATCTTTTAATCAAACTAAACCACACCTTCTCAACCTATACCTTTCTTACTGCACTTCGCGTTGGCATAAACCTTTGAATTGGAGTTTTTTGATGGTAACAGAAGTAGGATGGATATGGATAATCTGCACGCATCTGTTCACATCTACTAAAACTACCCACTTTGTTGTATTTTTCCCATTTTTCCGAAGATTTTGGGGAAGCAAATATTTCTACTCTTACTGTGTTATCTTTCTTGGAAAAACAGCAAACACTTTTTTCGCACAACTTCCAACAGGAATGGCTCTTGCCAGAAAATTCGAACAAACTAAAATGATTACTTGGCTATCTCAGTACCTTGAGGCAATCAGTTGTCATCCAGTGAACGACAAAATCTGGCAAATAAGTTTAAGGAGAAAACATTATATTTTTCACGCTTTATATGCCTCACGCTTAGTATGCATAAAAGCTCAGCGCGAACCAAGACATCGGTTTTATACCTATCACTGAGGGAAGGCGGTATGTTCATTTTGTTAAAACGTTTGCAATATTCAGAAGCACGCATCGGCAGCAAAAGCCATATGAATTTAAGCACGTCCGTCTCTCCTTTTATGTGACGCACATACGGCGAAGTAAAGCTATCGATGACAGTTCTTGCACCGAGAGGAATTCAGTTTTCCTTTTCTTAGTCTTTTCTAGTATAGGGGTGGTGGGTATAAAATTGTCGGTCATAGCCGCATATAATTTTCTTTCTTTTTTATTTATGTTTTTTGTAATAATGAATATTACGACCTTAAAATTTTGCATATAAAACCAAATATGATTTGAAAATAATCGTTTTCTTTAGCAAAATTATTTTAATCGTCTTTGTGTCTATTACCAGAATATGCAGCTT